TCACAGCCCGGCTAATGACTTCGTCCAAGATGGCCGACGACCCGCCACTTTTCTATGTCCTGGCCGGGGTCTGGGGCCTGTGTTCTGGCGTGTGGGACACGTTGATCAAGAGTGAGTACTGCTGTACAGTACTATGTATAGTGATGAGGGATTACATTGTCACTTTAATTTATCCTTGCGCCATTATTAATTATGCTTTATAGAGAGGTGTCATAAACAAGCTCTGCATTCTCGTGGTTTATCAAAGTCTGGACATGCATGAGAATTTGCAGTAACATTTTTGTTGCAAAATATGTTCTGATTCATGATTATTGTTCAGAACGAAGTCATTTTTGAGGTCCCTCCGCATAGCCATGATGTTATTTGAGGGTCATTGTAAAAATTCATTTTATACGAGAAACATTTCAGGGGCCTTCATTCTTGTAAGAATATTTTCTGCAAATTAATTAAAATTTTTTTTTTTACAGATAGGACCATTGGTGTCAGTTTTATTGTGATGAAAAAATTTAATCAAGTCATTTTAATAACATTGTGACTATTGGGCAGGGGCCTGTAAAAGTATTTTGTTGAACACAGTAATTTGATGTTGAGTTAATATTTATTGTAAAGAGGTTTTACTCAACAAGTAGAAGTTGGCCAAAATAATCATTCATTATTTATTGAGAAAGCCTGTGAAGTCTATAAATGCTCAATTGAGGCTAATATCTTTTGTGACACTCAACTTCAAGCAAACTTCCATCTCCTTATCCCATTCTTTGAATGTAATTTATGTCTTTGAAAGGAACAGTATTCATGAATTTGAAGTTGGAAATTTGAAACGATTTGAATATTTCCAAGATATTTTACTGAAAATTTCAGAGAAGCATTTTTGCTCATCCTCGAAAATTGGGTAGTGTCAGATATTTTTCCAAATTTTCCATTTGTGCACCTTTCCTTGGCAGACACGTCACCGTTTTATTTGAATAAATTTTAGATTACATCCATCGTTGAGCCTAATTAAAGTTTTTCTTCCAGCCCAGAAAAAATTATTTTTCAAATGGAGTATTTATAAGAGACAATGTTTTACAATATGCACATGCAAAAAAATGTTGCATAATGAAACTCATTCGGGAATAAATTACAGTACTTTCCTTCAGCTGGGGATCCCCTAAGAATTTATTGCGCTTTACTTTCGAAAAAATAACGACTGGTTGGCAATGTCCGAATATATATATATATATATACTGTATATACCGTACTTTTACAAAATCCTTTCCTTTTTACGCCTTCAAAACTTTATTCTGTAACCATCAAGAGTTCATTCTTCGTCACCCCACTGACAGACGTTTCCATGTGCTTGCATTTTTATTTCTTTTACTTGTATTCCTTATGCAGCCTTCCTTCATGCCACAAATGGCCAGAAAACGTGTTCCCACGTCGTACACATGACCACGGAACTGTTTGGTCTCACTCTGGGCTTCGTCCTCTACCCTGCGTTGTGCATGCAAGCCAAGCTCTGGATCCTCGCGGCCCTGATGATCCCCGCAGTCGTGTGCCAGGCCTGGGCAGAGATCACGTTCGCACGGCAAACAGACAACGACGCTTCCGTGGCCACTTTGTGAAGGACCGAACATCCCGTGTTACGAGTCACTACGTGCGTCGTGTCGAAACCGGAAAGATGAGAGACGGACGGACGGACGGACGTGCTTCCGTTTCGGACAAGTGAGTTTGACGATGCTGGTGGTGGCGGAGGCGGCACTTCCGAGATGGGCTATCGAAAGGATTTCAACTACGCGAGGAGGAGATATGAAACGATCAGCGCAGCGGGAAGCGGTAGAAGAAGAAATCGTTAGCGGGTTTCCCGGGATGTAGCATTGAACTTGGGCGCTGCATTATTCTGCGGGGGCGATTCACGTGCGCTACGAGACCCACACAAAGATGATAATGTGTGTTCATCCAAAACATGAATAATTACTGTACAAACTATGAAATGTATGTTATGAGGAAAAAATCTCAACATGATTCCGTCACTTAAGAATCTGACAGGAAAAGTACAGCTTCTAAGTGGATGTGCCACAATTATCCCAGTTAATAATCCGAAATTATTGAGGGTCACTTTTTTCATTATATTTAGGGAAATTAAGACCATAAATCGTGAAATTGTTTTCCGAGGAAAGAAGGGGAAGATGAATGAATCCTCACCGCCCTACTAACGAGTGTTCTGCTTTTGGGGAGTTATTTCTTTCAATTATCAAAT